AATTAATGAATTTTTAATTAATATGAATAGGTAATTTTTGAATTTCAAACATCAGTCGCGCGACGGACTTGACATACTCTAGATCCGCCCCTGGCGTCAGTTGTATCATGAATTGTTGTTTTGTCTTTATGTTTCCTATAACATGACTTGAGTTTTTTTGTAGGTTTGTGGGTGACGTTAATATGAAATGGTCGAAGAAGTCTGGCAGTCATTTCTTAATGTTCTCTTAATGTATGGTAATGTGACGATTTTACTGTTTCGTCCGATTTTTGTTGCTTTTGTCGGTTTGTGTTTTGCTTTGTATTTTGTATATAGTTTTGTTTATGAAGTTTCTAGGTAATTGTTTTTAATAAATGTGGGTAGTAGTGCGTTCTTTTTTTAGCTTCTTCAGTATTATATTGAGTGTTTATCCTGTTGAAAAGTGTTTGAATGCAGCTTATTATGTGTTTTGTATGATGATTGCTGTTGAAATCGAGTAATGGTCTGTGTCGGTGGTTTTGTGGTATAGTTGTGTGTTAGTGTAACGTCGTCTGTTCTGGTTAGTAGGATGTCGAGGAAGGTAAATTGTTTGTGGTGTTCTTCGTCTTTAGTAAATATAATGTTCTTCGTGGTATTGTTTATGGTGTGTAGGATTTGTTCAGTTTTGTCTTTCTTGACTATATTTTTTGAGCCTTCATCAGAATGAGGATATTTATTTACACGTGTTTTTAGCTTGGAGACGTTAAGAGCGTCTAATTCGATTACTGGGTGGATTAATGTGGTAGAATGGGGTGAAATGTGCTGCTATGGGTTTTGGTGTAATGTGAATATGATTGGTGTTAAATATATTAGAGTGTAATGCTGTAGTTTTGGCGTCAAGAAAGACATAACTGAACAAATCCTACACACCATAAACAATATCACAAAAACATTACCTCTACTAAAGACGAAGAGCACGACAAACAACTTACCTTCCTCGACATCCTACTAACCAGAACTGATGATGGCACACTAAACACACAAGTATACCGCAAAACCACCCACACAGACCAAATACTCGATTTCAACAGCAATCATTCAACGCAACACAAAATAAGCTGCATTCGAACACTTTTCAACAGAATAAACAACCATTGTAACACCGAAGAAGGCAAGAAACCTGAACGCAACTACTTATACTCCACATTTCTTAAAAACAAACACCGTATAAACTTCGTAAATAGTCCGGAGGATAAGCTCCGAAAATTGGTCAGATTGTTCAAACATGTGAAGAAAGCATGAAACTTACCACAAATTGCTAATTTGATTTATAGATCAAAATAAAAGTGAGACCCCAGCAGGATCAGCTTGTTTAGGGTACTTTTGAGCCGATTAAAAGTTTGGTCAGCGGCTTAAATCGCGGGCTTAATGAGACTTTTATAAAACCGTTTTAAATATAAAATGTTAAATAAAAATGTTGTATTTTATATAAAAACAACAAAACACCATGAAAATTCCGGTAAAATTAATTAATTGTCGAAAGTTACCCTTTTAAAGGTTATTTCGAAAACTGCATAAATTTTGGGCTCCCTGTGGCAGCCTGGTCGCCTAGTTAATTTGGCATTTCCAGACGATATAGTGCTATTTCTCGATAATTTTTTTGATTATTTTTCGCTTTTAAAATGTCTTTAAACTGGAACCTTTGTGCCTTATGTCAAAAAGACACAAAAGAAAAGATTTTATGTCCGGAAAAAGCTTCAAATACTTTACTTGCTGGCTCAAGTTACAAGACAATTGCAGAAAACTTGAAAGAATTCGAGAAACTTGATTCGCTACCTATTAACATTCCACTTTCTTTCTCTTGATGATGGCAGAGGTAAGGAATTCTAATCAATTAAAGTGAAATAAACTCACAGATCAACTATGAGCCATAAATTGTACTTATTTAGCCTTATAATAATACTTTAACAGGCATTGAAAATACTTTAAGAAATCACAGAGCATCATGGCACAAATCGTGCTATAATAAATGCAATACGCTAAAGCTTCAGCGGGCACAAAAGCGCAAAAGTGAAGAGGAATTTTCAACTGAGGATCCAGCAATATTAGGAGCTACTAGTCCAGCTAAAACAAGAAGAAAGACATTTGAATTGTCAAGTAAGAGTAGCAATGCTTTATCATGTTTTTCTGTGATTGCACAGAGGGTGATTTGCATAAAGCAGAAACCATGTCAATTACCAATAATGTTCAATCAGCGGCCGAGACGCTTCAAGATTACAAACTGTTAGCAAAATTAGCACAAGGTGATATGCATGCAAGAGATGCATATTACCATAAATCATGCTTGACATCTCTATAACCGTCAGAGAAGCAAATTAAACCAACCACAAGATAGTGCTGTTGATGATAAAATGAAATAACACCTGAGGCAATAGCCCTTGCAGAATTAAGCCTATATATTAGTGAAAGCCTGGCAGCTGGTGAAGCAGTTTTCAAGATGTCTCAATTGTCAGAGCTCTATTGTTCAAGACTTGAACAATTAGGAGTAGAAGTGAAAGGACGTATCAACTCCACAAGACTGAAAGAACGACTTCTCACTCAAATACCAGAGCTGCATGCATTTAAAGATGGTAAAGATGTGAAGCTGGCAATGCCAAATGATATTGGAACAGCTATGGCTTTTGTACACAATAGGAACCTAGACACCGCTGCATTGTACCTTGCAAAAGCTGCTAGTATAGTACGAAAAAAAATGTTCTTGAAAAGGGAACCCTTTGAAGGCACGTTTACACCAGAATGCCAACAACAAGCAGTCCCCGATAGTTTACTTGCCCTGATAAATATGATTTTAGAGGGTCCAAATATAAATAATCAAAAGAAACAAGAGGTGTCAGGAGCCAGTGCCGCTTTAACGATTTCCCAACTGCTAATATTTAATTCAGTAAAGCATGTACGATCAGGTGCTAGCAATGCCATTCGACATGACAAGTCAAGAGAGACACCATTAACCACTTCCACGGCGCTCGTTGTCCATGCAGAAACAAGAAAAAACATTGGTCGACAAGTTTTATAAGCTAGGTCTTTGCATTTCTTATGACAGACTAATGCAGATATCTGCAGATCTGGGAAACAAGTGTTGCAAACTGTATGAGAAGGAGGGTGTTGTATGTCCTCCAAAATTAAGAAAGAATATCTTTACTACAGGCCAAGTTGACAATATCGATCACAATCCGTCCTCAAGAACCGCTAAAAATTCATTTCATGGAACAGCAATTTCCCTTACACAACATCCTCTTGACTCACAAGGAGAAGAACGAGAACAAGTGCCACAGGATAACACTCCCACAAAGTCAAAGGTCGTCAACAGTTTACCTGAATTCTATACAACTGTAACTCCTGTCACAGATGAAGGTAAAAGGATCTTTTTGTCCCAAAGTCACTGGCTCTTTTAAACCTAAACAAGACCTGATAAATAAAAGCATCAAGGAAGAGGAGAAATGGCTAAAAAGGGTCGACGAACTTTTACTCAAAGAAAAGCTTGAAGAAAAGGATTACTTATCATGGTCAGCTTACTTTGCATCTGAGCAAAACGTAGTTTTGAGGCCCAATGCAATCACCTCTTTATTGCCACTTTTGAAGACAATGCTCATACTATGGCTATGATAAAGCATGCAATGAAAACCGTCAAAGAATCTACTAAGTTCTTAAACCCTAATCAAACTCCTGTTATAGCGATGGACCAACCACTCTATGCACTCGCTAAGCAAATACAGTGGAACAACAAAATGAATTCGGTGAAGATAAGTACATGGTAATGATGGGTGGCCTGCATATTGAGATGGCAATATTAAAGATGATTGGACATTGGTTAACTAACAGTGGGTGGGCAAGGTATGGTGTAGATTTGTTGTTTTATAATCTCAATCTAATAACTAACATATATTTTACTTTGAAGTGCTCTAATTCATGCTGAGGTTATGACAAGTGGAAGAGCGGATTCTGTTTTGAAAGGATCGCACGTGACGAGATCTCGCTATGTCCACCAAGTAAGTGCCTGTGCAATTTACCTTATGCAGAAAATTGCTTACCAGGAGTACATCGAAAGTTGTGAAGACAAGCCCCCAAAAAGTTATGAAGCTTGGATAAAAGAACAAAGTGAGCTTTGCCCGCAATTCAAATACTGGGCGACAGTATTAGACCTCGAAATTCTTCTACTGCAGTTTGTTAAGGCTACCAGAGAGGGTAACTTCCAAGTCTACTTACAAGTGCTTGGAAAGGTACTTCCTTGGTTTTTTGCGATGAACTTGTCTAACTACTCTAGATGGTTGCCAGTACATGTGAGAGATCTCTTACGATTAGAGAAAACGCATCCTACTCTTTTTACAGAGTTTAGTGCACATGGAAAATTTGTGGTTCAGAAGTCCCAACATCGTTTTTCTATGATGTCCCTTGACCAAAACCACGAGCAAGAGAACGAAATGATAAAAGGTGATGGTGGAGCAGTGGGCCTCACCGAGTGCCCAACGGCCCTAAGACGTTGGATGATCGCAGGACCTGAAATTGCAAGACTGGTAAGAGAGTTTGAGTGTTCCTTTGGCGTTCAGTGTTCTACAAAGAACATTACTCACCACGAACAGACACCATCTGTCCAAAAGAACTTTGCAAAAGATGTAAAATCAATGTCTGCTGCATTAAAGGAGTTTGGAAACCCCTTTATGGAAAATAGCAAGGATCTGATTGTCGTAGATACGAAAGAAATAGAGCCTGAGTGTGTTATAGAGTCGATTTATACAGCTCGAAAGATCGGAGAAGCACAATACACTAAGTACGTCGAAGAGAGACTTGAAAAGTGTAACACACCAATAACTGACACAATTGAACGCAATAAGCTTCCACTTTTTGGAACATCAGTACCAACGACAACCAACAAGACGAAACTTCAAGTCACAACATTAAAGAATGACTGCAATCTTTTTGCAAGGTTGTACATTGCTTGTCAGTCAAGAGAAGGGAATCCAAGAATTTTTAAGCATGAAAACCAGAGTACTCCTCCTTCATTATCATCAGGGGACAAGATGCGAAGTGGCCAGAAATCAGAATTGATTGATTGTCTCGAAGCTGATGTGCAGACCACCTGTCCAAATGTTGATGTCAAAATCTTGGATGCCGCAGCTATTGTAAACATGCTTAGCCCAGGGAAGTGTAAGACCTTTCAAGAATACTCCAAATCAGTGTTTGTTCCTTATATTGTTCAACAAGCAAATGGTATTAGAAGAATAGATCTTGTTTGGGACCGTTATATACCCGACAGCCTTAAGCAGGGTACTCGTTCATCGCGAGGCGCTGTAGGGGCAAGAAGAAGAGTATGTGACATGGCTGTGATCCCTGCAAACTGGAAATCATTTTTAAGATCAGATGACAACAAACAAGAACTTTTCAAGTACCTCAGTCAGGCAGCAACATCGATTCAACTGCCAAATGTTACAATTGTAAGCACTTTGAGGAAGACATAATAAGTTCGAAGCCAATCGAAAAAGATGAGTTAGCTCCCTGCAATCACGAGGAGGCCGATACGCGCATTTTCATTCATGCAAACCATGCAGCGAAAGGTGGAATGAGGAAAATTGTCATAAGAACTGTAGACACAGATGTTGTTGTGTTAGCAATAGCAAACGTGCACAAGTTAGATGTAGATGAACTTTGGATTGCTTTTGGTGTTGGTAAACACATGAGGTACTTACCAATTCATAACATTACACAAAGCTCGTGAGGAGCAATGTGAAGCCCTACCCTTCTTTCATGCTGTCACTGGTTGTGATACTGTGTCGTTCTTTGCTGGAAAAGGTAAAAAGACTGCATTTCAAGCCTGGAAGTCTTTTCCTGATGTTACCAGTGTGTTTCAGCTTCTTTCATCTCCAAAAGAATCCATCTCAGAAGAAGAAATGGAAAAAATTGAAAGATTTATCATTATTATGTATTCCCGCACATGCCCGCTCTCCAACATCAATGATGCTAGACAAGCTATATTTGCACAAGGTACTAAGACAATCGACCACATTCCACCAACCCAAGCCTCCTTGGTACAGCACATTCGGAGGGCAACATATCAGGCTGGTCATGTTTGGGGTCAGTCGTTAGTTTCAGTTCAACAGTTACCGCTTCCTTCGCAGTGGGGATGGCAAAATAATGGCAGATGGATTCCTACATGGAGCACTCTTCCAGAGGCTTCCAAAGCGTGCAACGAACTGGTGCACTGTGGTTGCAAGAAAGCATGTAGGGGCTTGTGCAAATGTACCAAGTCCAATCTTCCATGCACAGCATTGTGCAAATGTGGTGGTAGCTGTTACCAAGATTAATAAGTAAGTAATATTCCCTAAATAATCCCGAAAATGAATCAAAAGAATACACTGCAGTGAAGACGACAGGTGATACAATATCATTATTAAACATTTTCATGCTCTTGTAAAAATTTAATAACACCAATAAATCAAGAAATCCCAAATATTCTTATTTTTTTATTGAAAGTATGTGAAATTTACTGGTATTAATGACAATTTATACGAATTATATATCGCTTAATAATACTTACTTCCAAGAGGATATAAATGCGATGAGAACTAAATTGTTTTGTCGATTTTCTTTTTATTTGAAATGGGATCCCTGTGCCTTTACTATTAAAATATAAGGCAAAATTTATTGATAATTTTCTCGGAAACAAAAAGGTATTTTGCTGGCTCTCGCCTCTATTTTAATTTCATTGATAAACCAATGCAAAATAGTGAATTTGAGACTTTCTTCATGAATTTGAACAATGCTAGGTCTTATACTCCGGACTAAAACAAAACTATAAACCAAATACAAAACAAAACACAAACCGACAAACCAACAAAAAACGGACGAAACAGTAGAAATTGTCACATTACCATGCATAAAGGGAACATCAGAAATGACTGTCAGACTTCTTCGACCATTTAATAATAACGTCGCCCACAAACCTACACAAAAACTGAAATCATGTTTCACCAAACAAAGACAAATACGCGATGTACATGATACCATGTAAAGACTGCTCAAAGCAATACATAGGACAAACATCTAAGAACATTAAACAAGACACACAGAGCACAAAAACGCTATAAAATGACGAGATCCGAACTCGCTACCCACGGAAACAACCACACAATCGACTGGAAAAAAAAGAGACAAGCAGAATAATAAATAATTTTTGTTAATAACTAAACTATATGACAACACCAAAATAGATTCTCTTGTCTAGAAAATTATGCCGAATTGCCGAAGGTATATCTCATGCTCATTCTTCAATCTAAGTTTAATACGATAAGGCACATGCACTAGTGTTGCCGCAAAATGGGATTGTTTTTTCTTGTGCAGCCTGCCAGCATGAGGCAAAAAATATATCCTGAAAGATAAAGCTCGTACAAACAAACGTTCGTACAATCATTAAAAACAGAGCTGCACGAAACTGTTTCCACTGTTTGCCTATACCTATGTCTCTTAAAAGCATCATTTAGTTTCGTTTTTTATTTAGCTTTTTCAATGTTTATTTTTCGACGTAGAATAAGAATATTTTACGAACGGACTAAAAGCATTTTATTTGCGCGTTTTGCGTCCGCCGTCCGCGTCCGCTTTTTATCTACACCCTTTTTCTTAAGTTGTGAGCATATGATGGGTAAGTAGACATGTTTGTTTTTTGTGTCGTTGTTTTTACTGTGCTTTAGTTCATTATAAATTGCGTGCGTGTTTAGTCTGTGCGCGTCCGAGTAATTTTAGTCTGTCAGTCGAATGTGGTTGTTTCCGTGGGTATGTTCTGTCGGTAGTGAGTTCGATCTCGTCGTTTTATGGCGTTTTTGTGTTCTGTGAGTCTTGTTTCAATTTTCTTAGATGTTTGTCCTATGTATTGTTTTGAACAGTCTTTACATGGTATCATGTAGATTGCGTCAGTTGTATCATGAATTGTTGTTTTGTCTTTATGTTAGGTGAAACATAATTTGAGTTTTGTGTAGGTTTGTGGGCGAATTTAAAGAAGCTTGGTACAGTGAAGACAACGACACAATAAACAGACATATCGACATACCCATCATATACTCACAACTAAAAAAAGGACAAAAAAACTACAAACAACACCAAAACTAAAACTCTACACTCTAAAATTATTAACACCAATCACATTCACTATACACCAAAACCCATGACAACGCATTTCACCCCATCCAATCACATTAATCCACCCACTAATCCAATTAGACGCTCTAAACGTCTCCAAGCTAAAACACGTGTAAATAAATATCCTCATTCTGATGGCTCGAAGCAACGAGTCGAAAGCTCAATAAAAATCATTTAAAACCGGAGAAACGTTTATCTTTTATATATTCAATGCCTATATAGGAAGTTTATAATTTATGATTTTCCGTATAAAACAGTGCTCGAGCGTAAATATATGTAGTGGTGTTGAGAAAATCACAAAACTACAGATTCATCCCGACAAGCCTGTTTCATGATTTTCACTCTTCAGGGATAATTTTAAATGAATACAAAAGCATGTGCTAGATTATATATACAAGAGGAAGTTAGGGTTAAAAATTGAGATAGAATTACATAATATAGTGGTGTACGATTACAAATTACATAAAGTGCCTTGTGTCTATGGCGACAAGTGGAGATAAGTTCGTTGCGTTTATTGAGGGATGATTTTGATGGTTGGTAGATGATGAAGAATTTTTCTTTGAGGCAAAGGTTGCATCTTTTACTGGTGCTGTTGTATGGTTTGCTGTGTGTCATGATGTTCCATGAGATGTCGTGGTCGATATAGCTGTCTTTAAGGGTCCAAATATGCTTACTGAGCTCGGTCGAGTTTCGTAGTTTTTTGTGGCGGAAAGAGGCAGGGTGATTTCTATGTCTAGTCTTAAATCTTTTCTGTAAGTCCAATGTACGTCTCAGTTGTGTTATTGTTTTGCGTTTTACAGTAGCTTGGTAAAACGGATGACTGCAGGCAGTTTCCGTTAAGTGGGCAGTTTTGTTTTGTCGGCAGTTGCATGTTTTGTAAGTGTCTTTTGTTCGCGGTGTTGTCGTTAGTTTTGTCTGATGTTCTCAGTATATGTTTGTTATGGTTGTTGACTATTTGTTCGATATTGTTCATGCAGCTGAAGCTGAGTTTGATGGTGTTACGGTTGAATATTTTCCTGAGTTTATGGTCTATGGGGAAGTGTTTGTCGATTAATGAAAGGAATTTGTGGCCAATGTTCGGGTAGACGTTTTTGCTGAATGGAGGGTTGTACCAAAGTATATTTTGTCGAAGTCTGTTTTTCCGTTTGTTAGTAGCGTCTGAGTCGAATTTTAGTGTGTATCGGTATCCGTTTTCGTCGAGTGCTTTTTGGTATGGTGCAGTTATTTGGTCAAATGATGCTTTGTCGGATGATAGTGAAGATAGACGTTTGTTGATGGCGTCGGGTATGTTCTTTGTTATGGTTGGTGGATGGTTGCTTTCGCTGTGGACGTATTGCAGAGAAGTGTTGGGTTTTGTGTAAGGGCGATATGAAAAATTGTTAAGATGTAAGGTGATGTCAAGGAAGTTGATGATTTTTTTGTTTGCTTCAATAGTTATGCGTAGTCCATTGTTGTTGAATATCCGGCATATTTCCTTTTTAATATTCTCTGTTTCTCATGGTGTGGTGTTTGAAAAGGCAAGTCCGTCGTCTCGATAAAGTCCTATGTCTGTTGTGATGTTTTGTAGTTGAGAAAGGAGGTAGCTTCCTACGAGTTCGCATGTCTCAGCTCCGTCGAAGCTACCCATTGTGACGTCGAATGTATAGTTATATTTCTTTTGCCAGGGTTGTTTGTTGTGTATAAGGAATGAATTCTTAGCGTGTATAATGATGTTTTTTTCGGCGTTTGTGATGTTGTCGTAGGTTGAGGCAAAATCCAGTGCTTTGTTTAGTAAGTCTTGATTAATGGATGGATAAAAGTCTACGATGTCGAAGGATATGAAGGTGACGTTATTGTTGTGTTTGATAGATTTAGACCACTGGATCACAGATGATGAGTTTTTCCAATGGTAGTATGAGGTTGTTTTTATGATGTCGCTGTTATATATATATGTGTAGTGGTGTAGAAAAAAATCACAGAACTACAGATTCATCCCGACAAGCCTGTTTCGTGATTGTGAAGATAGACGTTTGTTGATGGCGTCGGGTATGTTCTTCGTTATGTTTGGTGGATGGTTGCTTTCGTTGTGGACGTATTGCAGAGAGGTGTTGGGTTTTCCTCTTGCCGCCATAGATCCAAAACACTCCTATGTAATTTGTAACCATACACCTTAATTAATACTCTAACTTGCGTCATCTAACTTGAAACTATACACCTTAATTAATACACTAACTTCCGCCATCTTGTATATGTATTTTCAGCATTTAAGTATTTTATTCATTAAATCCCCTGAAGAGTGAGCAATCACGAAACAGGCTTGTCGGGATGAAATTGTAGTTTTTGTGTATTTTTCTCAACACCACTACACATATATATATATATATATATATATATATATATATATATATATATATATATATATATAATTGTACGTCCTGTGTCCCAAGTGCAGGAGTCACCATTTTATTATGGTGATAGCCGGGAGGGCACATTGTTATACACTTTGTATAATACGCTGACTGCGCGTGCGTAGTTTGAGCACTTTCGGAATTTGTAGAGAGTCTCATATGGAGACGTTCACAATGTTCGCGATATGCAAAGCTCACCTTTATAGGTTTGAGCACTGTGGTGACTCTACAATACAATCCATACAATGTGTAACTGTACGTCCTGTGTCCCAAGTGCAGGAGTCACTATTTAACTATGGTGATAGCCGGGAGGGCACATTGTTATACACTTTGTATATTACGCTCGCTGCGCTTGCGCAGTTTGAGCGCCCTCGGATTGCGTAGAGAGTGTCATAAAGAGACGTTCACCGCATTCGTTTTATGCAATGCTCACCTATATAGGTTAGAGCGCTCTGGTGACTCTACAATACAATCCATACAATGTGTATATATATATATGAACATATATATGTGATAATATAAAGATTCTCTGGATTTATATTTTGAAATTTTTATTAAGCTTTCAACTCGGTGCTTCGAGCCTTCGTCAGAATGTGACAATATATTATTTACAAAGATTTTGTCGGCGTTTGGAGCGTCAGATTGGTTGGTTAGTAGTTGAGTTAATATTATTGGATGGTATAAGATGCGTTGTCATGGTTTCGGGTGTATGGATTGCGTTAATGAAATTCGAGTATTTTATTTTAGTACGCACGCGCAGTGAGCATAATATACAAAGTGTATTACATTGTGCCCTCCAGGCTATCGCCATAGTAAAACGGTGACTCCTGCACTTTGGACCCAGCACGTACCGTTACACATTGTATGGATTGTATTGTACAGTCACCAAAGTGCTCAAACCTTTAAAGGTGAGCTTTGCATATCGCGAACA